TTTAATTTTTATATAAAAAAAAATAGTTAAATGATTTTTATAATCTAGTTAAGTTTAGTTTTCTAATAATTTAATTTGAAATAAACAATAAAAATTTGTTATAACTAAATCAATTATCTCGAACTTGAGTTATAAATATGTAATTATGTTAAATATTTAAAGAAAAAAACATATAGACTTAAGAGAAATATCATTTTTCTTCTTCTTTATATTTAACTAAAACTAATAGAGACAAGCCATACATAAATAAGACAAAATGAAAAAAATGATTTAAAATTACTGTAATATTTTTTAAATGTTAAATAATTTGATTTATAATGACGTGTTTTAACAAAAAGTTTATTTTTAATATATTATTTACACTGTCGAATCGATTGGATAATATCATTAAATATTATCTATCAAATAATTATTAAAAGGTTAATATTTTAATTATTTTATGCTAATATATAATTAGATACCAATATTAAAAAAATATTTAAAATATATAGTCATATTTATAATAAAATTCATTACCTGTGTAAATTGAATATAAAAATTATGCAAAATTTATTATGAAAAAAAAAGTTATTACTAAAGTGTATTAAACTATATTTTATAGCAAATTAGTTTTTTATACTAAACTTAAAATATAGTTTAATTTTTATAAATAAAAAAAATTAGTTTAATTTTTTATAGTTAATTTAATTTAATTTTTAAAATATTTTTTTTAACACCCTGCCTAAAACTTGAACATGACAAAACTAATGTCATTTCTCAGAACTCAAGCACAGATAATCGGATCAGGTTTCTCTACCATTGCATAAAATATAGGCCATAGATAATATTATTTCATATAATTTTAATTTTAAAAATACATTTTTAAATTTCACACATCCAACGGATGCAACTGCACCACCGTTCAGTTATTTATTTTCCTAAACTGCAGGTGACCCTCCCACATAATCTATCCAAACTGAATAAACTTGTGAACAAATTGTCTTAAAGTGCGTAGTACTTTTGGATTAATTATTTTGTCATTTTCTTTCGGTGTTTATTTGCATAGGTCTTTTTACTGAAAAATATTTTAAATACTACTATTGTGGTCGTGCCTTTCTCATATCCTATAACACCTATGATAATAATAATACTTAAAAAAAAAGGTTATTGTGTCTAAAACACGTAATCTAAATCAGCTTTGTCCACTTACGCTCAATTGCAAATAAATTTATTTTTACCATGAACGCCATATGTCCAATACAAAGTGTTGTTTTAGAATTACAACATTTTCGTTGCCAAACGAATTAAGAAACTCTGACTTTTGCAACTCCCGCAAAAAAGAAAATCTCCGAGTGGGAGTTCTAAAAAATAAATGTCATTTGCTTTCAATGAATAAACGAAAAAGACTTAACAACCTCCTTCTTTTTGCTGTTAATTATTATTATAATTATTATAAACAAATTTTTAATTACTATACATAGATATTCTTACCGTTTGAAAAACGCATTAAGGTTAGAGTTAATCATTTATATATTATCAGTGTAAAAAAATTTTACACTGGCAACCAATTATATCTTTTAATTGTGTCATGTTAATAAAATTTTTTTACACAATGTATAAGTGATTAACTCTTAAGGTTAATATAACCCCTTAAATCAAAATCATAACATTTAAAAGTGTAAATTTGTCCATCCTTATTTTAGGAATATAATTTTTATAATTGATTATCATGGGTTTATGAATCCCGAAAATTTTGGAATTGGATAGGATAATTAATTACTTATTATTGAGTATTATATATTAGTTGTGATCTTAGTTATTAATGATAAAATATTATTCTGAATATAGTCAGATATATTTTGATTGGTTCAACACCATAAGTTCAATTGTGAAATGTTAGAGTTAGACAATTCTAATTGTTCTCAAGCAAGTGTGTGATAGATGCATGAATAAGGTTAATCCCAATTAAACCAATGTCAATTTGGTTGGCTATGTGTTGACTATAGAGGTTGGATTATTGCCAACCTATTATCGATGTATGCTCTTAACCTTCATCTAGCAATACCAACTCAATAAACATTTTGGGGATATATTTGTCTACCAATCCTGAGCCTAAAAAGCTTGAGAATTAGTATGAAGCATTTTTTTCGAATAAACAATGTGTGTATCCTATCATAATGTTATCAGGAGGGTACACTTGTCTATTAGTTTTGAACCTAATAGGTGTAGGGATTAGTACAAAATATTTTTCAAGTAAACAATGTTAGTATATCTTATTAGAATATTCTCGGAAGAGTATACTAGTTTATCAGCTCTTAGTCAAATAGACAATGTTGTATATCCATTCATAATATCCTTCGAATGATACACTTGTCTATTAGTTTTGAACCTAATAGGTCCAAGGATTAGTACAAAACATTTTTCAAGTAAACAATGTTAGTATACTCTATCAAAATATTATCGAAATAATATATTTGTCTATCAACTCTGAGTCTAAAAAGGCATAAAGGTTAGTATGAAGTATTTTCTAGATAAAAAATGTCAATATACCTTATTAGAAAATTTTCAGGAGGGTACAAATATAAATCAAGATAAGTCACATGTTCTTCTTTGCAATTTGTAAAAAAGATAAATGTATAAATGATAGGTTGGTGATTATATAATTATGCTCACAAAATTGCAGCGTGTTAACTTTTATAAGTTGATGCGAAAAATTAAAGAAAAATTTCAATTCTTACGTTAAAAAAATTAATATAGAATATAAATTATTATATATTATTGATTCTATATATAAGTTTTTTAGGATATTTTTTAAAAAATTGAATTATTGATAAATTGAATATTATTAATATTATTAATTAATTTTAGAAAAAGTAATAGAATTGAATTGAAAGAGGGTTGCAGATAAAATTATGACGTTTTTGTATATTTGAGTAATGGATGGAATGATTTGGTAGTATAGGAAGTAGCGCATAGTCCTAAAGAGGAATACTCATTCAGAACACTCGTTCGGCCTTCAGAATACAAGAAGATCATTGGCGTATCCTTATACAGGTACATTTGGCGCCCACCGTGGGGCCGATCCGGGTGTGAAGATAAGTGTTGTAAATTGTAATTAACTGAGAGAAAGATAATTAAGTTAATGAAGTCACCGGCATACACATGTTCGGAGTAGGAGAAGAGGTAGCATCTCACATCACATATACACTGATAGATCCACTCTCAACATACGCGCGTTCCTTCACTTCAACTAATATATAAAACCCATTATTATGGAGGTGTGTTCATTCTTCTAGCTGTAATCACAAGTCAATCATCCACACTTATAAAAGTTATTATATTATGAATACGAGTATACAACTCACGTCCCTCGCAAAGGACAATTCTCCTAATAAAATTAGGTTAAAGATCCTAAATTATTTCCAAATAATTAAAAGATTAAGTGATGAATTCGCAAATGAATGTTAAATTTATATACATTTAATATTTATTGAACTAGCTACCAACTTCATGCTCGATTGGCAAGTGGGTGAGTAATTTAAAAATGGAAATTGATCTGTAATAAACTAATTCGTAAATGTCATTTAATTTGGATGTTAGAAATACTAAGGAGTATACTAGTCAGTAGATAACCCATTTTTTTTTAAAACTATAATGCAGGAGTTTAATTTCCAACTGAATAAATTATCAATTTAGTTTTTTTTTTTCTGTTCTATTTAGTTTTTAAAATAATAAAATTATATAATTATTTCTTCAGGTATTTGATATTTACTAGTCTAAGTCTCTAAATTAGTATATTTCACTATTTTTTTTATCTATTGAAAGACTATTTATTATAATTTATAATGTTAAAAAATTACTTATTTTAAATTTTTTATTTCATATTACCATTTAAGAGAGAGTGAAATATTTTAGTGATCTAGTAGATGGAATGATCACTTAAGAATCCCGATGAAACTTAATTATTATTCTAACCTAGAATATTTAGTATTCTTAAAACCTTTTTAAGATTACATATATTAATTTCATTTTCTAAACAAAGATATATTGTTTCTTATCTTAATTCTATAAATTATGTTGTGTCTTTAATTATATTAATGACCCATAAATCTTAGTCAATATGATTGTTATTGTAATTGTTTTGTAAATATATTTAATTAGATTATCTTACATACAAATAATCTTCGTTATCATTTGAAAAGGCTTGATGTTCGAAACAAGCAACTCTACTATAATTTAAAATTTTGACCTAATATATAAGAGATGAGAATAATACAAGTTAAATTTGTAATATTAACAATACAAGTTAAGTGATAAAATAATATTTTTTATCACTTGAAAGACTATTTATTATAATTTATAATATTAAAAAATTACTCATTTAAATTTCTTATTTCATATTATCATTCAAGAGAGAGAGAGTGAAATATTTTAATTATCTGGTAAATATAACGGTCACTTAAGAATTTCGATGAAACTTAATTATTATTTTGATGTAGAATATTCACTAGGGTTAACCTATATTCTTAGAACCTTTTCGGATAACATATATTAATTTCATCTTTTAAACAAAGATATATTGTTTCTTATCTCAATATATTGTGTCTTTAATGATATTAATGATCCATAAATCTTAATCATTATAATCATTATTGTAACCATTTTATAAATATATTTAATTAAATTATTTTATATGCAAATAATCTTAGTTATCACCTAAAGAGATTTTATGTCCGAAACAAGTAACTTTACAATATTTAAAATTTTGGCCTATAAAAACAATACAAGTTAAATTCAGAATATTAACATTATTTCGACTCATCATAAACAACAAATTCTCTTAAACTGGATTAAAAGAAAAATACTAGAATGGAAGAATACATTTAGGAAGTAGTTGGTTTGTTTTGTCAAAGACGAATTGAAATATTTATTTGGTTGGAAGAAAAAACAAGTTGACCTTAAACTTAAAGTCTTAAAGCATGATAAATGAGAGTGAGAATTGGAGCATGAGGAGAAATTTGGGGATTTTGTACGTAGGGGAGAGCATAGAGCTGGATACAGCTAAACGCAGCGGTTAGAAGGTTAGCATCTGAAATCTCTCCAACTTCTAATCACTGTTGATTCCATACAAATACAAAACCTCATAATAACCTAATAAACTCACACAGACACACACAAACTGCTCCACCACTTTCTCTCTCTAGTAAACAAAACAAAAAAGCAACCCCCTTTTAAGTTTTCCCTCATTCTCTCTCACAACACAACCCTCACCGACAACAACGTAAGCTAAACAAACCAAAACACACTAACACCGCCATGACCGACAGAGTCTACCCTTCCGCCAAGCCCCTCCCCAACGCCAACGCTGCCGCCACCGCCAACCCATCTTTCCCGGCGACCAAGGCCCAGCTCTACGGCGCCACCCGCCCCACCTACCGCCCCCAGCCCCACCACCGTCGCCGGAGCCGCCGCGGCTGCTGCTGCACCTTCTTCTTCTGGCTGACCCTCACCATCCTCGTCCTCCTCCTTCTGGCGGGTGTCGCCGGCACCGTCTTCTACCTCCTGTACCGCCCCCACCGCCCCTCCTTCACCGTCACCTCCCTGAAACTGTCGTACCTGAACCTCACATCCTCCTCCACCCTCAACTCCCGCTTCGACCTCGCCGTCTCCGCCACCAACCCCAACAAGAACATCCTCTTCGCCTACGACCCCACCGCCGTCACCGTCCTCTCCGGCGACGTCGACATCGGCGACGCCACCGTCCCCGCCTTCCGCCACCCGAAGAAGAACACGA